CAGATATGCAGTGTTATATAGATCCTAGCCTATGTCCTTGTTCATAGGCTACACTTAAAATAGTAGACAATTGCCAAGGGTACTCCAAACGAACAGTGTAATCATAATAATTACTGCCTTATGTAGCGGTTATGGTGCAAGGATTGCCTTGGCACAATCCCATCATAATCTGTCAAACTATTTCAGAATAGTTTGATACTTACCTGGGTTCAACTCTTTGTGTTCGTTTTTATATTTCTGCAGGGCGTTTTGGGAGTACAGTCATTCAGGACCGTTGTATATAGTGCATTACTTTCTTATTTGTTTATTAGAAAATGTATTATTTTACAGTATGTTCATAGGCACAGGCTGATTCTCAATTTAAGATGATATTGTTGTACAAATCACTTAAACATCAAAGGGGTGCTTTAAACTCGCCCAATATTAAAAAAAAAGGACTGTTAAAAAAAAAGTAGGATCGCTTGCCTCGCTTCCTGGTCTTTTACTGTCATTCGAGACATACTGCTTTGATACTATCTGCCTTATGATGAATGTATCAGTCTAATCTAACAGAGCTGCTTTCTCAGAAGGCAGGGGTGCACTAAAAATGCTTTGTGCACACTCTTTGTTGGAATAAGAGGACGTTCAAGGAAATGTGGGCTAGTTTAAGGATATTGTAAAACACAAAGAGAAGGAAAACATTTAACAAAAAAAAAGTTAAAATTGCACAAAAGAAAAAAAAACAGGAAAAAAGATTTTCAAAGTAAAGCAAAGGAACAAACCGTTCAATATTTTCTGACTGTGCTATAATCTAAGCATGTATTCTGGCACAAAAACAGAAAAATTTATTATTATTTATTTATTTATTTTTAACTCCCTCGTATTTCTTGTTACTTCTTGTTTCTAAAATAAATAAATACCAAGAATATATTTTTTTTTTTGCCAACTCTTTACTATGCTATTGTGTCTTTGTCTTCTTTTCTCAGTCTCAATGTTCTTACTAAAAGGGAATCTTTATTCTTTCAACTTTAGTTCAAATACGCCACAGATTGTGAAGGATATAACTCTGTATATTACTGGCCTCCGTAAAATATTTGGAGGTTGTTCAAAAAGCAATCACCAGCTGTTTTTTTGTACACTGGATACATTCATTTTTTAAGAGTTGGAATTATTTTCAATGATTTATCTATGTTTTTGTACTTTGAATTAAATCACTAATCCTATTTCACCGTTTTAATACGTTTTTTTATTTTCTTTATTTTAATATGTGCGTAGGATTCAATTAGAATTGGTATCCCCGCTGGCATGTTAGGTATGCTTAAAGCATTTACAGTTTTAAAATTATACTTTCTAAAATAGATATAAATATCGTATGAGGATCTTAATATCATACACATGATCAGTCATAAGATGGTTTTCTATGTATTAGCCTACAATTGTTAGTCTACGTTTAGAGCCCCTAATGTTTTGGATATACACCATCAAAATGTTCCTCCACCAGAAACATTGACTTTTAAAAAAAAATTTTTTATACCTTTTTATTAAATCGTGCGTCAAAGATAAACAAGCATATTTCACCATGACATATGGGGCATGAAGTGCAGTAATAGTTATAGTCATGACTTTTCTAACAGCACCTTTTTTACTATAAAACATTCAGTTGAAAACACAGTGTTGTGAATGGGGGGGGGAGAAGGGGGGCTAGGGGGGGTGAGTGGGGGTACGGAATAGGGTACAGAAGAAAAAGAATAGAGATGAAGGGTGGCGGAGGGGGCAGAGAAGGAGGGGTGGGGGGAGGTTAATATCCATTATATACTCGTTAGTTAGCATAATATCGTATAAATCCATAATATGGTAGAAACATTCTGCCCAAGCCTTATGTCTGATTCCCGACTACTTCTTCGCCAATCTGGGTATGCCTGGCTACTCGTAACCCTCAGGGCCCTCTAGACCGCTATCTGTACTTATGATACTCTGTGTCCCGCGTGTGAGCCCTAGATCTATGTTCAAATTGTCTATTATTGTATCGTCGGTTTGATCTGTACTAGGTGCCCAACGGTGTATTTTGCTTGTGGGTAAAGGTTTGCCATGGGTCCCATATCTTTTTGAACTTGGTTTGTCTCTTACTTATTGAAAAGGCGATTTCCTCCATCTGTCTCACAAGTTCCACCCTGAGTATCCAGTCCCTGACAGTAGGTGCTTGGGACATTGACATTTTTTGTGATGTTCCATGGTGTCCACATCCGAAAAATATATTTTTTGTTTTTTAGTTACCAAATTATTAGAAGTTTGTCTTCTATGTGCTTTGACATACTTGATATATATCACAATATGTAACAAAGTGGGCCAGCACCTTTCCACAGGTTGCAAAAGAACCCGGTTCTGTCTCCAACCGATCTACATACAAACAATAAAGAAATGTTTTAGCACGTCCTTTTATTAAAGTGTCTTCAGTGTAAAAAATAGCAGTGTTCCGACCCCAACTGTGGTCTTTGTCAAGGTTGCCATAACTTGACATGTATGACCCCATTACTTAAAATTAAATCTAAATAATTCAAAGAGTATGATTGCATTACAAATTTCTGAGATCTACCTAGTCACGGTCAAGTTGCTTTAGACATTATCTATTTTGGGTTAAAGAACTTTCTTGGTTGAAAATATTCATGTTTGCAAGTCAGTCGCAAAACTGCATCTTGCATCTGACACACACAGTGTGGCTTGCTCACAGTCAGGTTTATTTTAATAAATAGAGACATTTCTGTGCAATTTTATCTGTCTGTCGGTCTGTCCGTCTGTTGGCATGTAAAGACATTTTTCCTTTTTCTTATTGTCTTCATCTTCTGTCTCGCAAAAAGGAGAGGTATTCACCCATTGATGAGTAGAGGCTCAAATCCTTACATTGGGTTGTAACAATTCTGATGGAAACTTCGAATAAGAGAATCAAGCAAATCATTGCTAAAAGGTATAGCATTGAAAAGACTCCAGTAGAAAAATCTGTGATTTGACCTAAATGTAGATATCTGAAAGTTACTCCTAAAATAATCCCTTCTAGTTATAGTTATGTAAGTGCTAAAGACTTTTAAATCCTAAGGATGGCACATTTATTCTATGATATTCCGTACATTTTATGCCTGTCCACTGGGCTTGTGTGGTCTCTGCATGACAACTAACCAATGCAAGTCTTGTGATTAGGTGAATATCTTTTTTTTTTTTTTCTAGCTTTAAAGTAAAATTGAATTCACTGCTTAAAGGAACACTATAGGGTCAGGAACACAAACATGTATTCCTGAACCTATAGTGTTAAAACTACCATCTAGCCCCCCCTGGCCTCCCCTTGCCTCCCTGAATATGGTAAAATCTTACGTGTATTTAAGTCTGCAGTTGCTGCCTCTGCCCCTGTCTGCCTCTGGCCTGTCTGCTCTCTGCTGACATCATCAGAAGTGGTGGTCTGAGCCAATCACAATGCTTCCCCATAGGATTAGGTGAGACTGTCAAGGAGGCAGACCAGGGGCAGGGTCAGCACAAGTCAAACACAACCCTGGCCAGTCAGCCAGATACAATAAGTTATACAAATACAACTACAATAAGCTATAGATACAAATAAAATAAGCTATAGTTGTTCTGGTGACTACAGTGTCCTTTTAACTGGAACCATTATTGACGTCTAAAATATTTTTATTGTAGATCCTCTAGAGTACAAGCAAATACCTTTACATTAATTAACCGATTATTTTCAAAACTAAATTTCACTTAGATTTTTTCGATATATTAACATTCTCCATTTCTAATTTCACTGTTATCTCTAAAGCTTTTGTGTAAGAATTTCCCTCTACAAAGTATATAGTTCAGAATGAACTGTATCTATTAGTCTCTCGAGAGCAAAGAAAGAAAATATTTTAAATAGTTATGCGTAATAGAATGATTTTTTCCACTGTGTTCCTACCTGTGGTTTAATATGGTCTACAGCCGTTTTGTTGAAATTCGTGATCTTTTTTTATCTGCAATGTAACAGAATAAGAAAGGTTTTGTCACAAATGCACCCTACTTCAAGAGTGTGCGTGACGTAGTTGTGGTGGGGAAAAGGTTAAAGTTCACCATTTGTCTGCACTAGACTGGAAATAATGGCAAAATCCCCCTTAACATCCACCCACACTTAACCATAATAATATAACTATTACTATTTTAATGCTGCCACCACCAAGACAATTTATAAATGGGGTGCCTAATTATTTACACCAAAACTAATTATTTACACCAACAACAGATAAAAACAAAAGGGATCAACTAACAGAAATCCTAAATCACTTACTCAGGTTTTTGAAAGTAAAACTTCTGCCCAGGGAGTCGCTGGCAAAGAGGATGGAGACTTAAAAGAAAATAGCAAAAGTGGAGGATAGATCGCCTCGTGAAAAGACCGGGCTGATCACCTCCACGCCACCTCAAAACGACGTCTCGAAAATAATAAACCAATTTATTGAAAAAATCTTAATAAAATCAAAGAGGAAGACACATCTATCTCTAGATGAAATAAATAACTAGAGCCTAATATATACAGAAAATATGGCTAGTATACAAACATGTAAATATAATGCGGTATGGCAAATACCTATAGATAGAGTATAATACATATATATATACAGAAGAGCCATAGACTGTACATTGCAAGCCCAATGCAGAATATAAAATAGGGCTGAATTATAGATGCAATACTATAATCAATATCTGTGCAAAAGAGTGAAAAATGAATGTAGTAATACATATATAAAGAACCATAAATTCTGCACTAAAAAAAACAAAAAAAAAAAAAACTAATTGCTGCAGAGTGTGGCTAGATAGACCATATCAGAATGTGGCAAAATCATAGTATAGTGAGACAATAAGTCACAGTGAAAAGCCACAATAATAGTCAAAACCTCTGCTACTGTACCTACAGGGTAAATTAGAAATCGAAAGGATAGAGGAGGGCATAGATAAAAGAGGAAAAATACAGCAGAAAGACCTGATAGTAAATCTACATAAGGTCTAAATGCCTAAACCCGATAAACAGCCCATCTATCACTAAATAAGGTGACCAGAGCTAGAAACACGCTCAGTGTCACTAAACCATACTGTAAGAGACAAAGGAAAAACAAAAACAGAATAAACTAGATTAAGCCGGGGGTCGCGTAACTAGTTAGCATGGAGGAGTCTTGTTCGTTATCGGAATTAACCAGACAAATCGCTCCACCAACTAAGAACGGCCATGCACCACCACCCACAGAATCGAGAAAGAGCTATCAATCTGTCAATCCTTTCCGTGCCCGGGCCGGGTGAGGTTTGGCCCCAAGCAAATACTCCCAAACCCCTCCAAATAATTGGATGTATACCCTGTGGATCATCAAGTCTTGCCCAGGGGTGGAGTTAAGGCGTACCTATAGAAATAATAAATGACCACCTCCTTTGTTCCAGACCAACCTCAATCCAAATAGAAACATTTGGCTCTATCTTCTCTTATGTACTTGCCACAGAAATAGTAATTGCATCTATGAATTTGTTATTATTCTCCCATTCTATACATATGTCACACACCTTACTGGTGACCCAGTATGGCGGACATCACAATCCCTTCCCATGTGGCTAAGTTAGACCACCCATGTTTGGGCTTGTTTAGAAGAGGGAGCTTGTCACATTCCAAGTATAACAAAAATGAGGCTTAATTATTACTCTAGGGGGGGAAATATTAATGTTTTCCTTTCTTTGCGTATGATACTGGAACAAGGTTAATGTCCATTAACATATCACAGAGATTGACTCATCAATTACAAGGAACAGCCAAATGGCTGAAGCCAGCTAGGCATTCAGGCTTTTAAAAGTGTAGGATCTCACACCCTGCAGAGCCTTGATTAATTCACATCCATATGGTAAAATCCTTTTCACATTCCTATGCCATTCACACTACCCCTTCTGTCATCTGACCTCTGTGGGGGTCCCAGCTTCAAAAGATGTAACCCCTTTTGACCTCCATACAATCAAATTAACCCCTTTTGACATTGACAATGCCATATCTATGCACTACACAAATTACATTAAAGGACAATATTCCATAGTGCAATAATACATTGTGCATCCTTGTCGTGACACATCATGCATAACAGATTCTAAATATCCTTTTTATAATTTCAAAGCATTGATATTTTAAGAAAATAAACAGGTTTTTTTTCGGACAAAGTAATGACAAGCTTTAGTAGCCAGACACGAAAGTTTTGAAAAGAGCATTCGAAACATCATAACCACTACAGTGTGCCAGGAGGGTCCTGGAGCCCTCACAATGTAAGTAGTCAAATAATTTTAGAAAGTTTTGATTTCATTAACTAGTGCAGGGCTTAGTTGGCTAGTTCAGAGCAATAATCGATATCTTCCAGTTCTCTGAATGCTGTAGTGGAGATGTAGATCCGAGCCTTTTTCAAACATATTATGCCAGAAGATATTACGGTTTTCATAATTTTCATAAAATATTTTTTGTAATATTTTGTCCCATAATTATCCCTAAGAAATCAATACATTCTAAAACAGTTTGACTACTCAAAATGGGGGAGGAGGATACCAGAACACTCCAACCTCCACAACCACTATAGTGTACTGCAGTAAGAGCAATCCTGGGTGGGTGCAGACCACCCATGTGCTCTTTAGATAGGTGGGGTGTGCAGTGCCAGGCCCCGCCCCTCAGATAAACCCTAGTGGTGCCGGGTGGCAGAGGGAACAGGCCTAACAGGTGAGGGTGGAATTTACCTAGGGGCGGAGAATAGCGCTGCACACCCTTTCTATCTACAGAGCACCTGGGTGGTCTGCACCCACCTAAGATCGGCTCTGGCTGCAGTGGTTATGGTGCTTGAAGAGTCCCTTTTTAAATACAACACATGTTGATGTAGCAAACAACGTAAATATTGTTTTCCCAAAATTATAATCAGGAACAATTTATAGTTGCCAAAAGGAAACTCACACTTTAAAACTATATTTATATTCTACCATAGATTCTAGCACAGCCCCATTGTATGAAACAAAATCAATTTATTAGGAAATCAATATAGAATAAAAAGATATAGAATTACTATTTTTATTACTTAACATGGGTTACCTCACTCAGCAAACGTGTACTGAAATTGTCTGTAATTCTTTATCATAGTCAAGAGAGGCCTGTCCTGCTCTCATACTGCAAGCACATCAAGGGCAAATCACATTTATCTAACAATAATTAAAATGGTTTAATATGTTTTCTAAGCAATAGTATTTTTTAAAACGTTAGATTCACAACAGCTAAAAAAAAGTCATTTCACACTCAAAATAATCAGACACGAGAAACAAATAACTTTGTCTGCATGCACAATACACCTCCCGTGTATAATAAAAGACAAAACAAAAATCGACACAATTTGTCCTGCGCTTCACAATATTATATTTATAAATCATACAGATATAATCCACAAGGCATGTCCATTAACCTAAAATACAAAAAAAAAATAATTTAGTACACAGAAACCAAAATTATAAAAAAATACCCCTTATTATAAATCATTTAGTGCAGAGAATCCAAAATTATAAAAATACCCCTTATTATAAATCATTTAGTGCAGAGACTGCAAAATTATAAAAATACCCCTCAGTAGATTAATCCCTGTGATATACAACTTACATTAACCAGAGCCTACACAGCCATCTCTGGATTTGAAGGCTTAAACGGAGAGGCTAGACCACACTGATAAAAATATCTTCACTCTGGAAGGAACTCCACCATGTACAGAAGAGTAAAAAAAACCATGGAGATCCCAATACCAAAAAACAGTATGAAGAAATGTATTAACTCATCAAATAAAACTCTTACCTTTACCATATGTGAGCTTGTGTGCACTTAGAGACTCACAAACATCACTTTTAAATGATGAGGGCTTTCACCCAGCTTATTGTGAATCCACAGCACACAGATTTTATCTACTGAGCGTCTGTGACGCGTTTCCACCCAAAATCACATGGACTTCCATATATGTTTTAAAACCTTGGAGATTACTTAATAAACCACCTAATCAAAAACTAAGTCAGATCCTACTTGCCATTTGTGTTTGTTTTTTCATTGCAAATTTCTACAATGAGATTATGAAATCCTGAAGATTTACAGTTTACTGACTCCACCAGACACAAGGTTACCAAAAGAATGGTAGTTTGTGAGATGATTTCACTAGTACCAAATATGAGTGCTATATTTGTACCTTAAAGACTAGAGGCCCTTGCTTCGGGCAGTAACAGCTTCTTTATCCTTGTTTGAATGTGATTGCTTACATGAATCCATTCAATATCTGTCACGGTTCTCGCCACATCAAACAGACGGCAAGACGTGGTCACCCATGGAGATCCCAACAAGGGACTTGAACCAGGGAACTTCACAGTCCTGGTCCTGCTTCCTGCTTCCTACCTCTGAGCCACAGCAGCTTTTGTATTCTGCAAGTCATTCCGGTCCTGTTCATCCTGGCTTGTCTATCACTCTGGGGGCTGTACCTTGAATTTGGCTGTGCTTCACCTGACCCTGATCAGACATTAGCAGGGTATTTAAACTCAGCCTCGCCCTGTGATCAGCTTCAAGTCTTTGATCCTGTTGTGTGCTTTGTACCAATGTTCCTGTTGTTTGAACTGCTACTTGTTATTGACCCCGGCTTCTGACTATGTTTACTCTGACCTCTGGCATCCCTTGACTTCGGCTACTCCTCATTGTTCCTGTCTTCTGGCATCCTTTGACCTCGGCTATCCTTTGACGATCCTCCTGTTTGAGTCCTTGCCTGTCCTGCGACTTGGTACTTCATCCTGCACAGCCCCCGTGCACAGACCCACAGGCCGGGTGAATTCTTACCTGACCACCTTGGCCTGTGGCTATCTGCAAGGGTGAGCAACATATCTGCGCTACAGACTCCCAACCCAGGTAAGACCCTGACATAAGACTTGATCATATGGAGTCCGCAGAGATGTGCTCACCCCTGTCCCAACCAGTGTCCAGCCTGGCCCAGACTGTTTTGGAGTTGTAGCAAGAAATTTTATTTCTTAAAGGCGCAGTACGTCCAGCCCCGGAACCAGCTTATCCTGAACCGTTTGTGATCATGCCCGACCGTTTTGATGGTAGCCGCACATCCTTTCAGTCTTTTAAAATGGATTGTGAGGTGTTGTTTTCTTTAAAGCCTCGAACATATGCCACAGATTTCATCAAGGTCCGAGCGGCTATCAACCTGTTGTCTGGATGCATCAAAGTATGGGCTCACCAAATGTTGCAGACAAAGAGTCCTGTCCTTGTCAGCTGGGAATCCTTCAGTACCGCTATGGACTCTCAATGCAAGACCACTGTGACCAAGCCAGCTCCACGTACCAAAAAATACCAGATTCTTCGTAACCAAGAAACCCAGTACCACCACTACACCCCAGTGATGTCTCCTTCTGATCCTGTTCCTAGGAAAACTCCTGAGGTATCCTGTGTTCCACTCGACCCTGAGGAACCTATGCAATTAGGACTTGTTCACTGCAAAGTGACACCTGAGGAAAGAGACCGAAGGAGAAGCCATGGCCTATGTTACTACTGTGGAGAAAGAGGGCATTTCATCACACTTTGCCCTGTTTGTCCTCCTAGACCTCCAGCTCTCCGACTGGGTACTTCTTTCCGCCACCCTGTATACACTGCATGCCAGCCTAAAAAGCTACATAGAAGCCGTTATTCTTGCCCATGCTTGGCTTCCACAAGAAAACCCCCTGCTCCAGTGCCGCCTGTATCTACTCCCGAAGTTACTTCCTGTGATACCATCACTACTTCCTGCCCGCCCAAAGAAGATGTACCTGTGGATTGTGCCATTGCTTCTAATGGCACTACAGTCCGTACAGAAGATCTTGAAATGTTCGAAAAAGCATTGTTAGCCACGAACATTGCTCCTGCCGAAGTAACGGAAGTACTTACCACCTGCACCCAGATCCTGAAAGATTGTTCTCCAGCCGTACCAGAAGCTGGTACTAAGGAGTCCCATGCTGTAAAGGGATTCCACACTGAGGACTTTGACTATGGGGACTCGCTCGATTCTGACAGTGAACCTGAAGAGGTGTTCTGTTATGACTTCAAACCTAATCACACCCAGAGGGTGTTCTTGAAGGGGGGGTACTGTCACGGTTCTCACCACATCAGACGGCTAGACGTGGTCACCCGTGGAGATCCCAACAAGGGACTTGAACCAGGGAACTTCGCAGTCCTGGTCCTGCTTCCTACCTCTGAGCCACAGCAGCTTTTGTATTCTGCAAGTC